GGGGGGGGGGGGGGGGGGATTTTTTTAGTTTTAATTTTTATAGTTTCGAAGAAATTTTGTCAATTTTTCCGTTACTTTGTTCATCCTATGCTAACTTCAAACTCTTTACTGCTTTGCCATATTCTTTTAGGCTTACGTGTTTCTATGTTTTCCTCTTTATGAAATGCGGGTACTCGTGTTTGCTCCTGGACTCCTGATTCAGTAGAACGGATCGCATTCATTATGTTGTTATTTAAACGTTCCACAGCTGCATAAATGTCTTTTGACATTTGAGAGACATTTGACATTGATAGGTTGAAGGCAATTTATAACTTTGTTGCGAACAATTTGGTCGGTCTTCGATAATCGTTGAATTGAATTGTTGCTACAACAGATGAGTGATCTGAAAAGAGTTTTAGAGAAGAGCCGACTTGGGTATATCTTCGTATATAGATGTCCTTGATTATAAAATAGTTTAATAGATCAGGCACTTTACTCGTATCGGTTGGCCAGTATATTGGTTCGTTTGTATTGAGATAATTCAGTCTGTTTGATTTGACGCTTTTAAATATACTCTTGCCACTTGTAATGATTCTGCTGCCCCATTGGGTACGCTTAGCATTGAACTCCCCTCTCACGATGAATTTATTATCGAAGCTAACGAAGAAATTATCAGAATCTTCTTTGGAGATAGTATACTTGGATGGACGGTAGACTGCTGACACAGTAATTGGGCTATGCGATCTTTTATCGCCACGTTCGTTGGTTGAAGATAGTTCGTTTTGTATAATACGATGGAAGTTTATACTGAATCACGGTGGATTTGATAATAATTGCAGTGCCAGCATGATCCCTGCTACTCGAATGTTGTGTGTGACATATTTTATACTCATTTATTGTCAAGTGTTCTTTTCTGCTAATACGCGTTTCAGACATCAGCATTACCTTTATTCCTTGATTATCTAAGAAGAATTCCAGCTCGTTTTTATACTCAACTGGACTGTTGCCGTTCCAAAGAGCTATGCGTAAGGGTTCCATTTTGGTACGTTGCTTCTTAACTTGTCTACGACCATTTTTAATAGTGGCAACAAGATGCTAATTTTATATAATTTATCGTTTTTTGGGTTATACATGCTATTTTGTATAGTGCTATCATACACTTTACTAATATAGTGCTTTACTTTGTTTTAATATTCCTGAGCATAGGAGATTGACGGATTAGTTACTTTACATGATGTGTTAGGTTGGTTGTGTTCTTAATTTAAGATTTAAGAAACCTATTCTTCTACAGTTTGCAGGGTGCTCTTTTTCACAATGAATGTGTTTTGCAGGAACTTTTACTGATTTCGTGCACTGTGCTGTAGGATGAGAGTTTGCACATTCAACGAAGCGATAATTATAATCGCAATATCTCTGTACGTGCCCATATCTTTGACATCTTTTACACCGAACCACCTGCCTTTCCTTCTGAAGTAGCTCGATTTTTACTGCAGAATTCATTAATCGGTTGATGTTGTATACAGCTTGATTGTTAGGTTTTTGTTTCAAGTCGATAAAAAAATAAGGATAGTGGATTTTTTGTTGTACCGTGGCCTATGTTGCTAATATTAATTACTCCGTTACCATATTTCCGGAGTTCAAGTTTTATTTCATTTAGGTTCATTTAGGTTAGGAAAAAATCTTTCTTCCTTAAGCTGATACGTATGAAAGTTCGCTTCTAGGTCTTCAATTAACTTTGTTAATTTCCTATAAGCATCAGGATTAAGCGGTAAAATTCTTACGTCGTTGTTGTTAACTTTTAGTTTATATTTCTGTTTATTTACAACACTTGAGAGAGTATTCATTATTGCTTGTATATGGATAACATCGTCAAGTAAGATTGGTAAAGAAGGGGATCTTTTTGCGGGTCTTGTCTTGTTGACGTCTCCGATAGAATATAATAATGTGAATCTATTTGAAGTAGTAATATTCTTTTTGTTCGTTTATGATTGCGTTTATGTTACTCTCTGCTTCTATCTTACGTTTCTTACCAATGTTGATATTGTTAGTCAGTTGGGTCGAACTATCTCTCTACCATAGCGATGGTAGATTGTTATGATGCAGCTTCGATCAAGAATACTCGATTTCCTTGAGCCATTTGCGAACCAGCTATTTTCGAATTCAGAACAACTAGTCGAGAGGCATTAAGTAGCTTGTGATTCGGTAATTCTACTCTCTTACAATTTAACTCAATAAAATGTAAGAGAAATTTCGTCTGTATTTCTTTTCGCGTAACAAGTTGTCAGTGCGAAAACGTACACTCACAGTGATTGTAAACTTTACGGAAAACGATCATACTGTCTACATGTTTCAACAGCAGAATACGAACTCCTCTTAAATAGTGTATGTTCCGAACTTGTATGAGCGTACGACACTATACGAAAATCTACATTTGTGACGCAGTTAACGATTCTGCAATGATAGAATTAAAGAGTATTTGATAAATTCTTTGAATAAACATCTGATCAAACGAAAAATAAAACGATAAATTGTTTCATTTGAAATCCAAGTAACGAAATAATCTAAAGAAAAGGCATTTGTTCGATCAAATAAACTAATTGTATGATTTTTTTCAAATAACATGTTATCTTATTATTATGTTATTATGTTATTATCTTAACAGTTATTTCTAATCAAAGGATCTTGGTTTAGCATCGCTTGTAGCTACTATATCTACCTAATAATAAACATATTACTTACAGGGAGTACAGATTCATCGCAGTCAATATAAAGATCGCACCGGTAGCTTTCATCCTTTAACTTTCTTTAAACCCGACACCTACATGTATCAGTGTGCACCAGGAATGACGACGTCATATTTCTTGAAATATCCAACGAATTATGTCAAACACAAAATGCCAATAGTTTTACCTCTCACTTATGAAAGGAGGATGCAGACACCATACATTCCAGATTTATCTCTGTCTGGGATATATAATAAATCAAGTTGTATTGCTTACAAACGATAGCTTATTATACGTGTTAATGCTGCTATAAACTGCTGCAAGGTATTACTCGAAAAATAATTTAAAAGTAAATTAAAAATTGTATAAAATTAAAAGAAATGAGATATTTAGGTAAATTATTTGAAATATAACAAAATTTGTTATTTAAGATGAATAATTTTAGAAATTTTAAAATTTGTAGTTGTTAAACGTTGTTTTCAAATATACTCTGGTGGTGATTCTACTACTTTAAAACAGATTTCCTTGACGATGAAATTTTTTTTACTGCCGATGGGAGTGTGTGTGACTTAACTTGATCATGAATTATTTCTTGCGAGTATTATTATTTATCAAGTAGGAATTTTTAGGTAAGTCAAGTAGGACAGTTAGGTAAACCACGAGCGAAACGATAGAATGAGTTAGAAGAAATGTCAAATAAATTTTTTTTAGAAAAATAATTCTTTTGGCGAAAAATAAAATAAATTTTTTAATGAGATATAGTATTGTTAATAAAAAAGAGGGTAGAATTTACCCAATATTTAAAGGAGAGTGAAAAATATTTTAGTTTTAATATAAAACGATTATTTCTTGTATGTATATTTGGAAAAAATATATTTTTGTAATATAAAACAGGTATGTTTTATATCCTCGAGAAAAATATTTTTTTCTAATATTAAGCAACTTCGTTGGTTTCATATTTCTAAAAAAATAATTCCTACATAATATAAAATAGATATTCCTTGTACACTCGGAAAATATTTGTTTTAAATGTGAAATAAGTATTTATTTCATACTTGGAAAAAATATTCTTTTGCTAAATATTGTATGTATATTTAATTATTAGAAAAAGATTGGATCTCTTTTTAGTAGCAGTTTAATTTACTGATTCCCCTATGAGGTTACAAGACAACCAAATCTACAAATTTCTACAATACTTGCCTGCTCTGTTCCGCAACAAATTCTCTCTCTTTCTCTCGTTATCTCTCATCCTTATACATACATACCATAAATTCCTTTACAATATTATATCTATTGATAATATGTGACATTTTTGTTATATTGGATTGGTGGGAAATAAATCGCTGTTTAGAACGTGCGGTTATAATGTCAATTGTCTATCATTTCTAATTATCTTTATTAGTTAGTTGTATATACGTGCATATATATCGCTGTAAATGCTATAAAGTTGAAATATGAATTTATTTATGTATGTATGCCTCATCTGTTGTTATATTTTGGAGAAAATTAAATAATTTCATAAGGTAGAACGCTCCGGTAAATTGATGGATATTTTTAAAAAAAGAAAATGTTAAGGTAGTCTCATAAATAGTTGATAACCGTGATTATTTACTAAAAAATTAATAATAAGTAAGATTGTATATTTTGGTAATGAATTAAAAATATAAATACCGATGGGCCATTTATTTTCCACCAATCTAATGTAATCGATACCATTATTATTCTACATATCCTTCTAAGAAATGAACTCTTCTTATCAAATAAATGACAATAAGTATATCGACCTGCATATAATGAAATTTTCGTTTTGGATATCGACAATTTCTATGTAGGAGATACGATCTAATAATTGAAACATTAATTATATCGCTAAGGTTACAAAATCGATAATTATGCGTATTTAAAAGCATACCCCCGACAGTGCTATAAATTTGTATTACCATGTACAATAATATAATAGTAACCATGAATAATAACATTTTTCAGTTGTAAAGCAACATGCAATTGAATATATTATGTGAAATTCAATGCAAAGCACATCTATGCGCGTCTTTTTCCTTACGAAGTGGTCGATAATTCCATTCCAATGGAATTAATTTGTGAAAATGCCTTTTTGAGAAAATTATATAATTATTACTTAATTATGTAATGATATGCATGCACATGAATTTGGAGTACAAAGTCGTACATTTGCTCCAATATGCATATCAAAGTTACAGAAATAATTACCATAATATGAGCATAATTAAACATTAAAATGAAAGGAGAATGTTGACGAGAATTCTGCAATTCTCGAAGCGAAACGTATAAATTCTTCGAAGGAAATGCTTCCCTGTTGGGTGAACACCATCTCTTGAAGTATCTAATGAAGTTGAAAAAGAAACGTTAGTAAGAAAGCTTATATTATATTATATATAGAATCTTTGCATACAAAATATTCTTTTATCGTAATAGGTTTTAAAGAGAATCTATATATACATTCATATTTCTGTTTCAAGAAACATTACTTGTAACCTTAAAGTAACTTTTAGAATTATTTTATTTTCGGCTGTGTAATTGAATCAAATCGGATTTCAAGTTTACATATGTTTACAGTTCGATATTTATAGCTAAGTATAATAAACGTTTTTAGAATTTGATGTTATGTTATTCTCGGGGAAAATAGTCTAGAAAATAAAAAATGTTATAGTACGATTTTGAATCTGACTATTACTTTATTTACTTATTCATTGTCTTGCGTTAGCGGCAGTAAGACTTCCTTTTTACAGAAAATAATTCCGGTATAATTTGTAATAACGAAACATTAATCATAGTGTAGATTTCAATATTAGAAATAACTTGATTCGTTTACAACTAAATTAAATATGAGAAAAAAATATGTGGCTTAGCGTGCGACAATGTTTTAAAAGAAAAGTCTAATGCTGTTAAAATATTACATGCAGAAATAAAGTAGTAAAATAAAAAAAAACTCATAAATGGAATTTCCTTGCTATACTTTAGAAGAGAAATAAACTTCATATTAGTAGGAGAGAATATACTTTATATTAGTATATAAAGTATACTTCTACTTTCTATGTTTCAGAAAGAAGTTAAAAAACATATTGCACATAATGAATATAAACGTGCGATATATGATACAATAATTCAGTACATAATTCAACTCTTTCAAAGGACATATTTAGGAAATTAATCAGATGTTTTTTGTTGCTGTAATACTCTACGTTATTGGTTTTACAAAATAATGCAAATCACCGATCGCTTCAAACTGGAAATTAGTAATTTATTACAATTTTCTTATTTTCAGTTAAGTAGAATAGTGTATTGACAAATTTTATTTAAAAAGAGGTACGGTTTAATGGATTTCCGCTCAATCAATGCCACGTACGTTTAAAATCAATCTTTATCAACCTGACAAATTAATAGAGACCTGCATTTTGAATAGATACCGAAGTTTATTTGAAAGGCAAGATTATGAAATTGATCTCATAAATTATCTAAATAGATTATTAGGATTTCATATTTTACGTTCAAAAATAACTATACGAGGCAATTGCATAATTTATTGACATATTTAAAAATAACCATGTCAATATTAATAGCATCAATGAATTTTTTGTAGTATATTTTTTATGACTAGAATTTTGAATTAATGACTTTTATTGCTAGGATTTCTATTTGTAGGATTTTCTCAAATAGCATTTGTGTTTGCTGCTCCCTTTTCCTTCTAAAAAAGAAATTGCGATATTAAAACTAATAAATTTTACACGATTTGACTTTCGAACGGTTCAAGTACATACCAGTGCAAGTGTTACTCAATCACTTCGGCATATCTTCGACATATGTACCGTGTGGGAGAAGTTGCTTGATCAGGAAGCTATAGAACTAAGCTTCGCTCAGATATCGTAAAAGCTGACCAACAAATGAAAAGTTACGGTACATCGTATATTACAATATTCCCAAGCAGAGAACGCATATGGACCTCCACCTATGTTGAGAAACTGTTATTTATGCGTGCAACGAAAGGGACAGGTTTTCTGAACAGGGTATGATTTCTGATACGCATCTTACCTGTGAAGCTACAGCTTTAGAGATAGTGGCGCGAATTCGCCGCACGTGACTTGCAGAAAGCATCGCCTACTTCCAGCGCAAACACATCGAAGGACAGAATTTTGACTAAATGCGCGTGACAACGTATAATCAACGGATAATGAAAGATATAGTCGCTAGATGAAAGAGCATCATATGAGCAGGTGTATGGGCAGCTATAAAGGTTGAAACAAAAGTTGGTATGGCATTGAAAGTTGATGGAAGGGAGAAAATGCGAAACGTAGTGGCATACCCCTGTTCCTGCTTTCCAGCGTTATCAGCCGTAGGAGCACTGATCGGGGGTGCAGCCGTAGTGGCGAAGGCTGTAAATGATGCGTAGACGGCACAAAAACAGCTGAAAGAAGCGTAACGTCGTAATCATGCGATGGAATCTATTACCTTACAAACGCGAAAGCGGTTTGAAAAGGAAGAAAGAACCAAATGCTAAAATTGAAAAAGAATATCGGGAAATAGGAACGATAAATCGTGACTATACTTCGTATAGTTGGTTCAACTGAAAAAGTGATGTAAGGAATCGCGGTACTTTCGCGGAGTGTTTATGTGCGATGATTTACCGAGGAAATCTCGACCAAGCAAATGCTTGAACATCGTGAATTTCGATAAAGACAACAGTCCGAGCACGCATTGAGTGGCATATGCAAAGCGAGGATCCACGGCTAAATATTCTGACAACATTGCGGAGTCCGACCACCGGGAAAACTCATCGATTGTTTCGGGAATAACACGAGAATCACGTACAACTGTACACAATGTCAAATTTCAGTGAGAGCTTATGTGGACAATTGTGCGTAAAATTTCTTCATGAATATCTGACATAAATCTAAACTACGCTCGTAATGTATCTCATTTTTCGCCAGACATTCATGATAGCACGACGACGAACATGTCATTCACCTTTGCTTTAACGGGCAGGAGTAACGTGCTCTCGGCGAAATATTTTCCACTGATCGATCTGACGGATGGCGAGTACGAGCTTGGTCTTGTATATTTCGAGACGTGTAGCACGATTCCCAACGTCGAGCGTAGCAACGATAAATTTTATTTTCGCGATAAAGACGATGAGATCGCGGTTCAATTCGTCGGACGGTTCGCACGAATTAGAAGCGGTAAATAAATTTCTAAGGCGAAGGATAACAAACATGAATCCTTGGAAGACCAGATCAATGATCAAGGACGACGACGATGAATATCCTATCGTTTTGCGAACAAATAACAACAGCATGCAAAACTAAACTCTCAGTTCGTACAGAGTTAACTTCACGAAATCGAACAACGTGGGATCTCGTTAGGATTTTCTGCGGATCCTATCCTATCGCCCAATACGTCGCACGTGTCAGATAAGCCTGCAAATATCATAAATGTAAACGTGATTCAAATAGAATGCAACGTAATCACCGGTTCGTACAGTAACTACAAGTTTGTACTCGGAGGATGCCTCCAGGACATAGGATATAGGAAACGCAGCAACGAATCATTTACCTAGCGATCGTCGTGCGAGAAATAGATGATTCGATTGTTCGAATCTCCATTCGATTAGAGTCCGATCAGAGTGCGTAAGACTTTCGGCGAGAAGAGATAACGGTGCGAATACACATACGTTGACTTAGAATACGCTTAGCTTGCGATCGATAAGAACGAAATAGTATCCTTATCTGCAGCAGCAGCAGCAACAATAACAACAACACTGGCAGTAACGCAACGCAAATACCCATCTCATCGACTACCTGTAAACCTTTCGACCCCTTGATTGGAGAAAAAAAAAGGGTAAAGACGACCAAATTGAACGTGCGAAACGTGAAATCCCCACAGTTGCTGGGACTAGCGGTGATCTGGCGGTAGAAAAGAAGAAGAACAGGAAATTGTATAACGAAGATAGAAGTACATGCTACAATCCGCACGCTAACGCCACGTTGAAAAACAGCGATGGAATAAGAACGCCTATACCACAGCCGGACCTCTATGTACTAAAACGTAGATGTTTTCTGTACGTCAAGGGGAAACTGAGTTTATTGGAAGAGGAGTCGAAGGATACCATTGGAGATGCAATTTTGGATACTAATAGAGTCGCGTTTACATTCGATGAAATTCGTTACGAATTGAACGGTGTTGAGATCCCCTCGGAAGTCTCGATATAACAATTGCACTGAAGAATTACTCGAGTCTATCCAGAAAGGGAAGTAGGGCACTAGAGAACGCAGCTTGGAAGTATGTAAATTATACAAAAAGTGTTCACAAAGCAACAACAGATTTCAATTTCTGTGTACCGCTCGACACGTTGTTGGGCTTCTGCGAAGATTACAAACATGTCCTGATAAACGCATGCCACAAACTCGTTTTAATTCGCGCACGCGATGATACGAACGCGTTGTACTCAGCCGCTGCTTTGAAATCTAAATTGAAATTACATAAAGTTCAATGGAGCGTACCGCGCGTTACGTTGAAGCAAAAGTTGGCGTGTTGCGTATTCTCTACAGCAGCGAATCGATCGGCATGGGTTTTCGATTCTAGAATCTCCACGAATATCCGTTATTGCAAACAACTACGAAACATATTTGGCTGATAAAAGCAGCGGCGCAATTAGAAAAGCCGAGATACGTAATATTTGCTATGTAAACGTCCCGAAAGGACGCTACTTCTTTTAACTTTTGTATGTCGACGAACGTTCGACATTATTTAAATTTTGCAACGTATCCATACGACGATCCGAATCTCGACTCTGATCGACGCAAATATGCCGTACTTTACGATATGTACGCAAAGTTTCACGAATCTTATTACGGATACGAAAGATTGCTGCTCGATATCACGGACTTTCTACTTCGTCGTCCGTTCTCGGCAAACTGAATCTCTAAAGATTGTAAAGCAGCGGTTGACGCGAGAATCGATTTTAAATGTTGAGATAACATGTCTCCAAACATCAGCGCGTACTGTTTAAAATAGTCCACGATCGCACCGTCGAGTACAGTCCTTCGACGAACGTCCCTGAAGAAACCTTTTTGAGAGAAAAAGGAAACAATGAAGATGGCTATCGTCAGCATCCAAGGATTTGAGCGGAAGGAAGAATTCATGATAAAAGTCATACTTGGCGATAACGAACGATTAGTACTATTAGTACTACTAGTTCTTCGAACCGCCGTTTCCATGGTTTAACTTGGACGACAAGGACAGACGTCTATAGCTCAGCTGGTATAACAGCTGGAACATCAGCAACGTCCCACATAAGAAAACCAAAACGTAATTTGTAAAACGTATAGCGCGCAAAACACGTTCATCCGAAACGCTATACAGCACTTGCAACATTGTTAGAAACAAAATGCATAACGCGCAAAGACGTTTCTCTGAAAAGTTACGCGGCAGACGCTACATTCTTCAATGTTCAGACTATTTCGCTGTTCGGACTGTGGCGAGGGGCGGGGGGCCCCCCCCCCCCC